AGAGCCATGTCTGTGACTGGCCGTGGACCCCATTGATTCAGACTTCCTGGCCTGAGCGTGGAACCTGCCTTATCACCATGGTCGTGCCTAATCATCACTGAACTGCGTATGACTCTTGGTTACCCTCACCAGACCTGATCCTGACTCCAAGCTGTGAATTAACTTCCTGGCTCAACCTCAGATTTGCGTCATCACCATGAACTTTGCTGATGGTGTAGACCCTTGGTTGAAAACTGGCTATCATCTCTGGGTCTGCCCTGCTTGCCATGCTTGGGGACTGTGGGATGGGGCCATGGCTAGCGAGGAACCTTCCTGATGGCCATATTCTTATGCTCTACTCTCTGTCCCTCAGGGAGCAGCCAACCTTCAGTGCTCATTGACACTGTTCTTGATTGAGATCTTTTTTATTATACCTAAAGATAGCTCATTGTACTGTCTTACGATTTTTCTGATGGCAGATTCAGCCTCCAGAGCAGTTGAGAAATCATCAGTATGGGCAATGGTTTTGTACAGCAGTATTTTTGCCATTCTTGTTCTACACAGAAGGAAGCATGAGGCCGTGTTTAGGAGCTCAGAATCTTTTCTTACTCCTCTGTATTTGTTTAGGTCCTGACCTCACCTCTATTTAGAGCAATATTTGCAAAGTCAGCTCATTACCACATTGACAATGGCTGTATGATCCACTGTGCCTCTCTGTAGCCTCTGTACCTGCCTTTCTGTCTCTTTTCAGAAATTCTTCTCACAAGATAGTGCTTTAACAAGAAGTCAACGTGTCCTATTATTAGGAGACTCTGCGGAGGTCGTGTCGATGTACGCCTGTAGCTAAAGATTCTGCTGCAGCTATTTCCTTCTACAAGGACTATGTGAATTAAACTTAGATGTGCAGAAGAAATTAAGTTTAGAAGAATGATAGCAGCAAAGTGCAGGTGGTTCAGGAGGGAAGCTGGTTTGTATCTTGTAACTTGCTACATGCTTCCTTCTATTCTGCAATTAGACTGGAATGCCATTGCCAACTCTGATTTGTGTCCAGCTGAGATCAGCTTCATATACTGACACCCTGTGCGTGGTCCTCTGTGAACTGGGTAGGGTGCTGTCAACAGCTTTAGACCATTTTCATCACAGAGGGATGTCTCTCTTTCCATGTGTCACCTGGGTAAATGAGTTATGTGAGTTCTGTGACGTAACATAGGTCATGATCCATCCAGCAACTTTTTCAGAGTAATCGTACACTACTCTGCGAGTAGGGCTGATTTTCTTCCAGACAGATTCATGACACGAAGACTTGGTTGAACGTGTATCACAGTGAATCCTCATGTCTGTTTCACAGCTGTCCACATGGAGGCCTGTACTCTTCATGACAATCTTCTACAAGATTATAAAACTGTTCCCACATTTTCTGTATGTCATCTCGCTGTCTGCTTAATGGTTTTCTGTTACACAGTTCTGAAATGTTTCTGTCCTGTGGCTGTCCAGTCAGGTCAATGTCTAAGGAGAAACGCCTGTTCATTCCCCTCTGCTAAAAAAGAACTGTGATATGCTCATTCAAGCAGCCTGGTCAGTGGTCTTCAAAGTTGAGTGCTGCCATCAGTATTCTGAAAGCTAACAATCTGGGACATATATAAGATCTTTCAATCAAACTTTGGATTCTCAGGATACTACTTGGTCATCAAGCACTAAAGAAATAAGTTGTCATTTCTGGGAGACAATAAAACTCTGGACATGGAAATGACCGTATGTAAAAGGAAATTCGTTTCTGGAGGTTCCCTCTGTCCAGTTCTTCCAAATGTTGCTGTGGATGATGTAAGCAGAATTGAGGTTCAAGCTAGCATCTTCCAAAAGTTGGACAATCCAATAACATGCTTTTGTTAACCAAACCCACAAAAAATAGCATCTGCCTTACATAAGCATTAGTCTATGTCTGTGTTTCTGGCATTTTTTATGCTTCTGCAGCTGTAAAGACTGCACTTTTTAGTAAGGCTCATGATTTCTGTATGAGTAAAAGCAGACGGAACAGTGCCTTGCAGTGATAGTTCTGGATAAGTCAGGTGGGTAGGTCAAAGATTACCGCCCTGAGTCAAGAGCCACAAACACTGCGAGCTGTGCAGAATAGCCCATGACTTTATGTGAGCTGTGTGAGTCAGCTGTTGAGAGCTGTTACTGGACCAGCACTTGTCCTTTCGAACACCTATTGCATTGTTGCCATCAATTTTGGTTGCCAGGTTGAATGATACATCAGCATGGTCTGTGCTGATTGCTAATGTGTGGGTATGTGTCTTGACCCATACATAGTGTTGTTACAAAAAGCTTGTCTAAACGATGCATGAATCTTTGTCCCATGCAGATCTTTGGTATACTTTCTTGTCAAATGTAAGTCACATGACATTTTCTTGATCACAGCAAAGCCTAATGGAGGACAAAAAAAAATTTAAGAATGCGTTACCCGCATTATATGGAGCTCTCTGTAAATGCCATATAGGTATTTAGTTGGTGGTTTGGCTGGTTGGTTGGTTGTTTTTCTCCTTCCAGAGAGGTCTTGGGATCTGGGTTGTGTGATGCATCCCATCTGAAGGATTCTCTGCCATACAGCTTTGGTGCAAGATGATCATTCATCCTGCTTTCCCAAGCATCAGCAATTCTCAGAGAATAATATTTATTACATGGTGGTGTAATCTCTCCTTTCTGTTTTCTAATGCCTTTATCTTGACCATCTTCTGGTCACAGAGGTTTGCACATTGCTTTGCGTTGAACTGGTTCACCACGTTCTCACTGCCTGTAGTTTGTAGGTTTCTGAGGAGTTCCAAATCTGACTGGTTCAAGGGGTTTCAACTTTATGCTTCAGGCCTTCATGAGCACACTTAAACCACTGTTCTCTTACCTCCTTTCCTCTTGACTGTGAGGGCTGACTGCTTATCAGATGGCAGCGCATAGGTTTGTGCCTTTTTGTCAAAGACAGAATTTCCTCTACGCTTACAGCCATTTATTTCTTAATTTTATATCAGAGTTCTATGTCAGCCATGAAATTAACCCAGTATTCTTCCCTACCTTCATGCATCTAGAATTTTGTCTATATTTCACAACCTAGAAGTCTGAAGGGCTTTTCTAGATGTTTGTAGAACATATGTAGTATTAAATAGGAAACCTTTGCTCTGATGATTATACAAGTGTTTGTTTGTGTGTACTGTAGTATGCTTTGTCATGTATTGAAGTGTTCTCTGAACTTCCCAACGGCATGAAAAAAGGGGGATCTTTGAATGTAGTATCTTCAGCTTCCAGCTGAAATAGACTTTAGATGGTCATTAAAAGTAAAAATAAAAGTTTTGACCTTTGTCTGAGTTTCCTAATACATTCTAAAATTAATATTACTGTGGTATACCTTTGGCTTCTAGGTCCACTTCCCTTCAGTCTAATGAGGACAATATCACTTGGGGCAATTCGGTACTTGGAAGGTTCTTTTGTTCTTCAAGAGAAGGGGCAGGAGCATCACAAGGTTTTCAAATTGTAGGAGACAGAACTAATGCTCCATTGATTTTTATGATGTGATTTGTGGTTCATACATCTTGGATCTGTTATTTCTGACTATCTGCAGACTCAGGCAGTGATTTCATGTCACTTAGACTCAGTTTATATTATCTAGTTTTCAGGTAAAGGAGAAAAAAATCTCTGAATAGAAAAATGTCTTTTTTTGGAAATTTAAGACTTCAATTTGGAAATATGGTGATATAGATATTATTTACTTGTTATTCAGAGAGGAAAGGCACTAACAGAGGCAATTACGCACAACACTTTCTTTTGCCATTCTTAGAAATGCAAGGGACTAGCACGAATACATCTGTTTCGAACTTTGAGGAAATTCAGATGTGGATGGAAAACTCTCAGTTCAATCTCTAAGGCTGCAAAACTGGAATAGCAAATTAGGGAATTTGTATTCAGAGATCAGCTCTGCTACTTAGATCTATGTCTATTTAAAAGTGATTTGTGAATACGTGAAAAAAATATCTAGGAACTTTGAGGAAAAAGGGAGGTACTGAGTACTTCAAAATTGCAAAGGTAAGAGAGATTTGACACATAAAAGTACATTTCAATCCATTTCTATTTGTTTTCGTCTTTCAGAGCTTCCCTTTCAAACTACTCTGGCTCTCACTCTGACACTTTCTACATAAACTATTCTGCTGATGTTACATCTGCAACAGAACTGCATAGGAATATGGTATCAGCTCACCACAATTTGCACAGAAGTGCAAATTTATTACATTTAAAGAAGTTATAAAATTAAAATACTTAAAACCATGTCATTTGGTAATACTGAATTGGAAACAGCTCACAGTCTTTCACAGTCTGACTGTGCTTAAATCAGAGTTCCCTGGTTGATGTGACATGATTATATGTTACGATTACAAGTGTTAACCTTTCAAAATAAAATGTTCGGTTTCTTCTTTAAAATACCAAATGCTTATACATATAATACTTGCTGATATTTGTTCACTGACAGTCTCACTTGTTTTCATACCCCACATATTTAAAGTTGTGGAGTGTTAGATTGATGTTTCTTTTCACTCAAATGTCATATTCATCAACTGTATTGTGCTAGCAGATTGTTAAACAGACAAGGTGACTTGCAGAGTGACAGTGTAGTGATGTGATGTCCCAAACCATTAAAATATAGTAATGACGTGGTTTTTTCCTTTTGTTCAATCAGTTTTTGCAACACAGTGGTTTTTCTGTAAAACACAGGTGAGAAGGTTTCTGAGTATATCTGTTGCTTGGAAAAAATCCTAGTTAATGGATAACAAAACCTGGAATTTAGTTGTAACTTCCCAAATATTTGAGAAATGCCAAAGATTTAGGAAGAACTAACATAACAGTATTTTATAATGAGGAAAGGATAACATTATGCTATGACAAAAATGAATTCACTTGATACATACTTTCTTACATAATTGGTTTTGCAGGATAATGTTTTACGCAGTAGTAAAAGGTATTTTATGATTTTACTTGAATAGCTTCCCAAGACTACCCCAAAGAAGGAAGAAACTTCTGCTTAACATCGTATCAACTCAAATGTCTTTCTCAACTTATCAAACTCTTCTTACTAATGGAAGAAAAAATTAAAGAGCTCTTGGCAGAAATTCTTTTGGTGCCTTCATTTACGGAGAAGAGTAAGGATGTTCAAGGTAATTAATGCTTTTCCTTATTTACTGATTCTGCTTTGAGTAAAAGGATAATTTTATATGATTTTCAACATTAATCACCTAATTTATGTCATGTATTTTATAAACAATTTTATTACCATATGAACTGAAAATATTTTTAAATATGCGGATATATATTTGACCACAATGACTTGTGGAAAAGAACTGATGGTTGTGTGTAAAGATGTGACATACAGTAGTTATTGATGGAGAATCATAATGAAAAGCTATCAAACACTGTAACATAATATCTCCTGTTGAATTATCTGTAAAATCCTGTATTTCATGTAGGGCAAAACAATACATGGAGTCTGAATTCTTTGAAACTGTGACTGTTTCTGAACGTGTTCTTGAAAGCTGCCATTTTCAAGAGAGAAAAATACTGACTTGAACATCAGGTTAATTGATCTTAGTATACAAGTAGCTAAATATTTTAGTATATAGTTCTGCTTTAACCTGTAGTTCTCACAAACTGGTATGTGCTATGTTTACTATCATGCTTATCCCTCTGGCTTCAGCGGGTATTTTGTAGAAGTAGGCTCTACATCACAAAGTAAATGGCTTCACGATCAAGCCTCAGGTTTGCATTTGCTTTGGATTCCAAGCTCACTCTCTTTTTCATCTCATTACATTCATGTCATATGAGGAGAACCTGAAATCCTGAAAATTCAACTGAATAACACCTTCCAGGTGACAGTATGCTCATACATGTTCTTCTGCTCTGCTACTTCTGCCAGTAGAGAGATTCCAGGTCACCAGAGAGCAAGTGGTTTCAAGAGCTTTGATTATATTACAGGAAAGGATCAGACCAGAAATGAGGCCAGGCTGCTCAGGGAGAGAGGGTAGGTGGAGTCGAATATTTGATATCTCTCTAGTCAAGCTGCAGGCAGAGAAGGAAGGTGTTTGGGGAATGTGGTCTCGAAATACTAAATTGATAAAAAGTGAAAAAGTATGAAATAGGAGAGTTCTGAGGCTTGCATTTTGTTGATAGATTCTTCATCTGAAATACTGACACTCTGAAATAAAGAAATACAGGTTAACCTATGTATTTTTAGAATATACGTCAAAGCTCAAATAGAATTTGCATTCAGGTTCCATTTTTGCTATTGCTTTCAATGTATTTCTGCCTCCTTTAAGCTCTCCGTTTTACCAGTTCCCAAGAAATGTTAAACTATTACATGCTGTTTCACATTTTATGGCCTTGATCCTAAAAAGAGGTATAACAGTAAACTTACGTGGAGGATAGCTTATACATTCCATAAGGGTAGTTTTAAGTGTTATTTTTATTTGCATATTCTGTGATAGAACATAAAAAAATTGAAAAACTCTTGAATGGCAAATTTATTTGAAGTGTTTAACTAACTACACTTTAAGACATGTGATCTCCAGTAATTCAGAGATCTTAATGACTGCAAAATTAACAAGAAGTATTTCACTTTCCAGTAAGTGTATTTAGGACTTTATCCTGCAGGCATTTCTCCAAGTTTAATTACATTCAGAACTGTTCCTCAAAATTGTGTTAAGCCTTCTTCTTTGAGGAATACCTTTTTAGAGTAACCAGGTCTATGGCAAGTAGGTACTTAAGTGGTACCTCTACATAATCAAATCTGAAAGGGAAATGTTACCAGACCTTGTTGTAGGAGTCAGTCTTCTGGGTAGATGGCCTGTTCTAAAGAAACTGTAAAATTACTTTTACCCTAAAGCAGAGGTGAAGGTAAGTCTTTCATAGGTGATGTTAGTGAAGTCATCAGATATACCTTTGTTTTTAGTGTTGCTGTTCTGATCAGGTGGTTTTATTCTCAAAACTTTGCTCAGTAATATCAGTTTCTGGAGAATATGTGAAGAGAAGACGTGGCCAGAGAAATTTTTTTTAAAAGTCAGGCTAGAAGAGGGGTTTGTGGGTGTTATTTTCACTTCGTATTGTCAGAAATCTCAGTTGTAGTGATGAAGTGAAAGATGATTTGATATGGGAGAATGAGAGCAATGTTCCCAGTAGTTGCGGGATTTAAGGGATTTAAGATTTTCTCTGCTAATGTCCTATATTGGGATGATATTCTTATTTTTTTCACCGATGAAGGCTGAGTTTTGATGAGAAGGATTTCTTAGAATGCTTGCTTTATTTTCATCAGAACACATTATAATGTGTGACTAAAAAATACAATGGCCATCTTCTGTATTTATTTAGAAGACTTCTTACTAGAAATCTGTTTAATTTAACAGAATATAGAGTGCAGATCCATTCAAGGCAGCTTTAAATTGACTCAGGGACCAGTATAAGGTTCACAGGGTAGCACAGGCTGCAGAACCAGCTTAAGCAGCAGAGCAAATTAGCCCAAATTGAACTGTGCACTGCTGTTGCTAGAGCACTACCTGTACTCTCTCTCACTGGTTTAAAGCTAGGTTGGGTGTATCTGGACTACCCTGCAGTCACTGCGGTGTAGGTATGTCTGAAGTACCAGTCCTCTGCAAGTAGTACTGCTGGTAAATTAAGGGGAGATGGCCATTTCGTAAAAGGTAGGCTAATATCCAAGTGAGCTAAAGTTTCCCTAGGCATCACATAGACTGGAACCTTGCACTTACTTCCTTTTCTTTTTGGTTGCTTTTAGTATTCACAGGAGCCTTTTTATCTATGTAACTCATGCAGAGATGCAACAAAAATTATGTTTTTTCTTGTGCTTGTGTCAAGTGTTGCGTTTATGTGTATAGCTGTTTCAATGGCAGTTTTAGTTGATTTTTGTTCAGCATATCCCATAGTACTTCAATCTTGATATATAGAACATGTGTAAAGTTCTATCAGAAACAAAGTAGTTCTTTGGATGGTTCCTCTTTTTAAATTTTTTTTTGTCCCAAAGATGGCATCTGAGTTTTATCTAAACCAGACGGTTTCTTGGCCCTCATTTTTCCCTAAACCCAGCGATGACAAAGAGCAATGGCTGCATAAATTGGATGTAAGAAGAACACTTAGGGTTTATCACAGAAGAATCAAAGATTTCATATCTTCTGACAGATTGTTTGTACTCTTAGGGGGTCTTAAGAGGGGTCAAATGGCTTCTAAGAGTTCCTTAGCTAGATGGTTAAGGGATTGTATTAGGGAGGCGTATGTAGTTAAGGGTAAAGAGGCTCCCAGGGTTTGTAAAGCTCATTACACTAGGACTATAGCTGCTTCTTGGGCGGAGAGGTCGAAGGCTTCCACATTGGAAATTTGCAAGGTGGCCACCTGGGCTTCTCTTCATACTTTTTCATTGCATTATCGCTTGGATGTAGTCTCTTCTGCGGATTCTGCTTTTGGTAGGAGGTTGCTTGTGAACCAAAAAAAGAACAGTGAAGAAAAGAAAGACATGTAGTTCACAGTTCTAGCTGGCAACAAGACAAGTTTCTTTGCAGTGTGCACAATGGAATCCTATGAAGACCAATTTAGGTGGTTGAAAATAGATGTTAGAGGGAACTACTGCCTACCAGTGTTCTCTGATGGTAACCCCATGGCAGACAATAGCACCAAAGGAAACAGTGAACCAGAGTGAACTCTGTAGGGAGATGGATGTAGAGATTTTTCTTAGGTGATACGGGCACTACTCTGAGTTCAGTTTGAGAGTTCTGTATCCGGCATCTTCTGGAATATATTCAGAATCCTCATTTTCCCAAACTGTTTTGCACAGATAGAAAAAAATTCTATGGATTGCATTTTCCACTCTTAACTACTTTTCACTGTTCTCCATCCAGTTCTTCTTGATTTTATTTTTTGACTTTCCTTTACCAGACCTAACTTAGCATGTATTCCTCCATGAGCAGTATCTACATGCCAAGATTTACACTTGACTTCAAATTATTTTTGCGTTATCTAAGCACAATTTTTAAAAGGTTGTATAAATACACATCTACTACCAATGTAGTGTTCAAGTTTTCTCTTAAATAAAAGGAGAATATCATGAAAAGTTCTCAGACAAATAAATGATGATGTGGTTTTGTTCCATCGCTACACCCTAGTGTGGCACCTAGACAAGACTGCTACTCTACCTTTCTGAGGAAAGTCATCCATGTTTTTCTAACATTTACAGAACACTTATTCTCAGTGTTGTCTAATGTTGCTTCATTCCACTACAAGCAATAGATCTCAGAAGATTAAAGGAGTAAGCACCTCGTTTTTTTTCTTGACTAGACATTTAACCCTCTCTTCTGCTGGTATTTTGTCATGCCCACTATGATGAGATAATCTGCTTCCCTATTTACATTCAGTTGAAATTCCTGAGATGTTCTGACATACCTAGTACGTGCAGCATCACAGGAGTTGTTCTCTTTGAAAGAATCTGGAACGTTCAGCTGCAGCCAAGGGTTAAGCAGGAGATTTTGGTTCAGAATCCTGCCAAATTGCATTCTCTTCCCATCTTTAAGGTAGATTTCTCTTCCCTCTGGCTTTTCAGAAGCCTCTTGTTGAGACTTTTAAAAAATCAAAAACATCTAACGTACTTTCATCTGTCTCTCACTTTTTTTTCCATTCCAGTGAGAAAGGTGAGCTTTGGACAGATCAGATAATGAGTACCAAGAAAAGCTTTTTCCAGTGGAGCTCTTTGAAAACACTGTGGGCAAAGTTGTCAAGCCCTTAGGTTTACAAGCTTTGCCTCAGGGGACTGCAAAGATTTGCAAAGGTTTTTCCTTCACAGCATAAGAAGAAATCCTTTACACTATATCCATTTCTGGAAAGTGTAATAAAAGGAGTATGGAATCAAATTTATGAGGTGCATCCTCTTCATAGACTTTGTAGTAGTAAAGAATCAAGAAAGAAAAGGTGTGATTTTTGCTTTGTTCTCAAATCAAGATGTTCAAGTAGCTTCTTTGAGAAATATATACCTTCAGCAGATCAATCCAAAGTGAAGAAGAAATTTACATTAGGACGGAGTTTGATTTCTGATGTACGTTTTCTGTATTTGTGTTAATACAGGTTTCTCAGTATAGTACAACAAATAAAAAGTCCATTACTGGAGATA